CTTTCGCTAACGAAGTTAACAATTTAACCTGTACTGTAATCTATTACTCATTTTTGCAACCCTATTATGAGCCTGCATTGCCTCTATTGTTCTGGCATTTCCACAGTGTGGAAGAAGGCGAAAATGGAAAGTTTACGCATTGGTTAGGCCATGAGTGCAAGAGAAAGGTAACTACTAAAGTAACCATCAGTTTCGCAAGTGATCTAATGCACACGAAGAGATACTCCACTGCAGTATCATCAAACGCCTAACAAGTTTATGTAATTTATGCGCTAAAAGTTAATGATGAGGTACTTTCTCTGATTGTTGTGCTGATTGCTGGACATTTGTCGGAACGTTAAACAACTAATTTAGTCTTGAGAGAGATTTTTGAAATTGGGAGAGTTTTGATTTTACGGGGCTTCTTATGTTCATACTGTCGAGACCATTGTGCAGACATAGTAGGGAACTCCGGAAGGATTTACTTTCTGTAATAATTCACAGTCGGTGTCGCTTTTGTCGCTTGTGCCTTTTTAGTAGAAAACAGAAATGACCTATGGTCTCGAGGTCATTCTCAAACTCCGTATTGTGGGAGAAGTCTACAAATCTCGCATCTATTCGTTGCTCACCTTTTTCACACTTTCAGAGATGGGTTTGCTTCCCGCTACTTCTAATGCATCGTTCTAAGACTTTCTTAACAATAAGAGGCATAACGCTTTGCAGGATGTTTTTAGCTAGCGCAAGTGAATTAAAAGCACTCTTGTTTGCACTAAAATTTGGTAGTCAAGCAATGTATCTCAATCCTTTTTAAACGGTTGTGAAAATTAATCTGATCACACATATGTCTCTAAAGGAGCTGGACCACATGAATTTCTTATTCCTCTTCCTACAGCTTCACTTGATGGAGTTAAATCGTTTTAGGACTTTAGCATTAGTTTGTGAGTCGTGCTTGCCCAAAAAACATAAGTATTGTAAATATTTTTCACATCGATAATGCAGATTAAGGGAAACGCAAATGTTCTTTTGCATTTACATGAGTCCAAGGAACTTCCTAGTGGACATGAACAACAAATCGAATGCGTAATTTTTACTCCCTTGATTGAAGACGAAAGAATGCATGATATTAGCACAAAATTTAGCGTGTATGCCTCAGAAGACCACGATGACCATTGCAAGTACGGGAATAGTCTTGTTCGTCCGCAAAATCAAATCAAAGAGTTAAACAAACTGTCGTGCTTTTATATTGGCAACAGAAAATAAACTTCGTCCTGAGAAAAAAGACACTGAATTTATTCTACGGGGAGTGCGAAAGAAATGTACATATTACGGTTGAGGCAACAGTTGATTGTCCATACGAGAAGTGCCAAAAATAAGACAAATAATTTAATGCTTTATTTATGCTACGACCTAATGTCTGACGGTTGCTTTGGTGTTCGCCTCGGCCTTTTTTTTGGGCGTGAGTTAGACACGGGGTCAAAACAAGGCCCAACTCCTTCTTGCCCCTAAGATAAAGGTACTGAGGCCATCTTAATGTCTTCGACCTAGTGCGAATTCACAGACCGCTATGAGTATCACAACATCCCCAAACCCTCGGGTCTCTGCTGCTGACAATTAAAGTGACACCAGCTTTGAAGCTGTACGTACGTACGCACGTACGACTATCCAATGGGTTCGTGTGATGGACGCTGACTCCCCGTTCCTTGGCCAAACTCTTGATCAGACAAATTGACACGGATAATTAGCGGCGCCGAAGGGGTACAGTTTCTTATTTTGATAAAAATTTGACCATCGGTGCAGCAATTTACAAGTACATGATTCCTTATAGCACCGATTACTTTGTGATGCATAGAAAGAGGTTGACAAAGAGGAGCATCATAGACAATGTATAAGAATGCACAGAAGCTGTGTGATGTGGAAAAGTTGTTTGTAACTTTTGTCATAAACACATATCCATTGCATCCTCACGATGTAGACTGGTCTTCGGACCATGCCAGCAACGCCAGGACCTTCTTTGACGTTCGAAGAAGTCTTGAGTCGTAGCATCAGGTCATAACGCAAAACTAATCTACTAAAATGCTTTTCCGATATTTCAGAAGCTAAATGTTGTTGAACTATGAATTCATGGATGCAGTGCTCATCCTTTTAAAGAGGATATTTAATTCTGAAAATAAAACAACACTTAGTTGCTAATGGTAGTGGTGGCTTAAGAAGAAGGATTCATCCCTAAGTACAGCGCCTTCATGGCATGCACCAGCAAACAATGTGATGAAAGAACAGCCCCTATGTGTGGACCAAAAATCAAACCGAGGTCATTTTGACGATTCCTTTCAAGTACCAAATTTAAGTTCCAATGAAGCAAACAACTTACAGATATAAAACTGGTTTTTTGTGATTGAGGTTCAAATTTGAGGCTCATGATAAGCTCGCTTTCAAGGAAGAGACGGAGCCCCGTCAGTACACCTGCCCTAATTATCACTCGCACAATTTTAACTGATTTTCGGTTAAATAAACTTACAATGAACTTTGATAAATTGCAGATCTCCCCATTTTAGGCAAGTACAGGTTGCATTCCCTGCTCCATTTTCTCGATCGTAGGGCTCGATGCCAAAAACAGAGGATGATGCTGGAGACAAGCAAATTGTTCTTCTTGTGGATGCAAGTCTTCATGCATACGTGTATTTTGAGCGCTAGCGATTTATATTTGCTTCCCTCCTCCACCAGTTCGATTGTTCATTGAGAAGATCTGTTTCTTTTTGGTCCACTTGCTCAGAGGTAAAAAATCCAAAGATAAAACGTTGACCACACGCACGGTTGACTATCACACCAAAGCAAATTCATACCAGCGTACTTCCCACTCATTCTCACACGAACCACTAATAAATAGAGGTTCCTGGTCATCCTCACTAGTAACCACGGTTTGCGCTAGATGTTAGACGACAAAAGCGTGGCAGCAATCGAACTGGACATGGAACAGTTGACATTGGAACCGACGTCTCAATTCATTCTAAGAGCATAACCAACACTGTTTTCCCTCAGTGTACTGTTTCGCATGAGAAATACTTTCAAATACCAGTCTGCTTGTTCATGAAGATTTATGCCGCCTCAACCCGAACATGGAAAGATACCCTATTCCCTCGCTCGGTAGTCGGCATCCACTTTTAACCTTGCGTTCACAGAACTGTTTCCTTAAATCTACTTTGATTTACGGCCCCTAATCCTATCGTTCATTATGCCACGTCCGCTCCAATGTTAAACAATGGCAAAAATGCGCAAGCTTTGCTAATTTCGAACCATGTTGTAAAATGACGTTCACTTTAATTTGATCATGCCCAACCATAATGAGAAGGCCGCTTACAAACCTCTGGCATATCATAAAAAATCTTGACTGAAAAAATAGCAATGTCTAAGACTAACTACCAAGAGGGTTCTCCGAACCGCTTCATAATGTTGACTTGTTCATCGAGGTCAGTTTTAGCCTTTGTCCTCATGTAAAAGATGGGACAATCACGACTAAAATTGAAATCAACTCACATTAGGATTTTCAAATCGAAGCCAAATCAAGGAAAAGCAGCGGTCAACATCAGTTCCTGCAACTACTGACTCATAAAGGTAAACTAACGCAGAGTGCACAATAGGCATTCTTATAGAAACGCATTAGTGTACGAACCCAAATGTTGGCTATAACATTGAAAGGGGGTTCAAAGATCCCCGTAGGAAACAGATAAACGTGCATTTTGAAGTATGCGGAAAAATCAATCACACAAATACTAAGAGAACTCTGTCGATTCATGGTTTCATAAAACAAAGAGAAGACAGTAAAAGAGAATAGTGACAAAAAACAATCGACAGAGCTGCAGTTCCCAAAACACAACCTGGTAAAAAAATTTACTACCTAGAACAGATGATCTGTTCATGGATGCTGCCTTGACAATGCTGACACTCGGTCCAGAGACGCGCATAGCGAGCCTCTAGCGCACGCAGTCGCTCCGTCCCCTTCTGGTAAATTTCAGAAGCCTTTGACTGACAGTAGGTGCACAGGGCCTCAGCTAAATACAAGTTCGTTCGTTTAGTTAGTTGAGGAAAAAAGTGACAAATGGACAGCTGCTGACAAATTGGCTATATCTTCTCGAAACCGCGTAGGCAATGGATTACTAGCTAAACAAGATTTTCTATTATCAATGCAAATTATAGTTCCAACCTACTTTCACGGTCCTTAGGAAGAAGGGATCTGCACCCGACGCACGATACACGCTTTTGAGTGAAAGCGGACAACTGACCAACTTTTGAATGGAGAACCGATTTCACAAGTGTATGTTCACCAGCTGAAAGAAACAGACATTAGAGCATTTGGAAGTTTAAGACGCTCCAAGATGTTATAACGTTCATATAAGCAACCGGACCTTATTATTAACGCCATAAAAATCATAAAAAAAAGCCCACTCAGAGCTGCGAAAAAAGTAGCAGTAGTGAACTGACTTAATAGTGCCGATTTGGCTTTGGCCTCTCCTAGAATGGGCTCAAAGATGCGCATAAGGGGATTCGCGAGCTGATTCTCGAGGTAGTATTTAGCATCGATGGGGACGTTGTGCTGCAGCACGTATAGCGGATCCTCTGCCTTGGCGTAGGCAGCGGTGTTCTTGCCACCCACTGAAGTTATAACGTAAGGCACCCGGTCTCCCAGTTGCGGTGCCGAGCCGGGGTCGCGCTTGCGAATCTTATTTGCCAGTTCCACGTGGGCCTGTTTGCCGGCGTACTCCTCGTCGGTTTTGGTAAGCTCTTTGCTTATCACCAATTGGGCAATATCGATCCGGTTACAGAGCAGATCCGAAATTGTGCGCTGAGCGTGTCTGATTGCTGCCGAGGGATCCCTGGAAGATGTACACAGTCCAATACAGACAGATTGAATCCTCCAACTTCCATGAAAGGAGAAGCCCATTATGGGCAAATGCTTCGAGGTCTGCGATTCGGCCCCAAAATATAAATAGCTGCCCGGCTGCTTCATTTGGAAATTTAACAGATAAACTACCTATGTTTACCTGTGCTAAATCCACCAAAAAATACGCGAAAGAGTTGCTGAATCTCCCTAGATTTGTTTTCTCTTAAAAACTCAAACCCTAATTCAACTATTTTAGTAGGGTTCGGGTTTAATGACAATTAACAGTAAAAAGTGGAACCTGGTGAATTCGAAAAATAAAGGAGGACTGCAACATAGGCACGAAAGACCGACCTATCAATAAGAATACGCTGGAGACATGCGTTCACGAGGTTGGCCACGAGTGGACAGTTGTCTCGTCTAACCGTTTCTATACCTTTACAGTCCATTTTGTCATGCTTGTCCGGTTTTGTGAAATATAGACCTGCGTACCGCTTTTTGTTTATAAGCAAGTAGGGGAAGTAAACCTAAACTTCGAATGAAAGCACAAAACTTTAGCGCAATGCATTAAGCTTTAATCAACTAGAATGAAATAAAAGTTACCTAGCCTCGAAACAAAGTAGTCAATATACAACATACTGCATCTTAGCTTACACCTACTTTTCGAAATTAGAGCATGTAAAGTGTAATAAATACCAATAAGAATCAATCCAATTGTTTGACGAATAAATGTTTGAACCCACCTTTTCGAAATCCAGCTTAATGGGTTTTAAAAACTTGCCAGATATGTACTCAGCGCCTTTGCGGGCCAATGCCATAGCTTCTTCGACGGTTGAAACTCCGAACTTGCACATAACGGAATCGGTATCGCCGTATATTACCTGAACAAGTTCACAAGAAAAGTACTAATTGTACCGTTGAAACAAGAAGGTAAAGGTTACAGACACTCGTAGAGTCGAGACCTCAAACGAGTAGAGCAAAAACAAAACGCAAATTCAGCAGCCGAAAACTGCTTACCTTAGCATCGCTTTTGTAGCCATTTTTGATGGTGAACTCCTCTTCCAATAAGCGTTTAGTTTCCTCGATCATTTCCCGACCAAATCCCGAAATGGAGCTAGAGAGCTCCAGACAAGGCAATTTTCCAACCTGGGCACCCGTAAAGCCGTAGACAGAGTTGGCGCTCACCTTGAGCGCTAGTTGTCGACCATCAAGAACTTGTCGTCTGAAATTGTCATTTTCTGCGACCATTTCACGTTTTGCTCTATGAAAAAGCTAACTCGTTGGTTATAGTTATAATAGGTGAACAACTGACTTGATCAATACTAAAAATAGTGAGCCTAGGCCTGGGAGGAAAGGAATTCGAAATACATGAATCGCAAGAACTAGTCCAGCTTAGCTAAGATTAGTGACAATTTCGGACCTTGATGTAGATTTCATCATCAAGTAGCACGCCTCAACTGCAGTAATTTGCCTTAGAGGAATTCAATCAAATAGCAAAAATAAGGTTGGTAATTCACTTCGTCCTAGCTTCCAGAAGCTGTTCGAGAACGCATGGCAAGAGCCCCTTGCGTATGTGTTTCTTGACAAAATACGCCCCCGTAGGTGTTCTAATATAGTCATCGGGACCAAGGTTATAAGTGGCCAAAAGATGAACTATTCCTCCTGAAGCGGATATATCCTCTGGCTTCAAAAGAGTCGTGTAACAAAGGTTGTGGGCAACCATGATGCTAGGGTACAGGCTGGAGAAATCTAGAGTCGCAATAGGCTCGTTGTAGAAGCCGCGCTGAGGTTCGATAACAGTGCCGCCCACGTACTCGTCGCCCTGACCTGATCTGTGAGTTGGCAAGAGAAGGCCATTTTCCTTCGATTTTCGCAGAAGCTGAGAAATTACCTGTGAAATTGACAAAGACGTAAACGCCTTGTGGAAATGAAGACTAGTAACATTTTGAACAGCGTCGGTTAGTTTGGCATTCAGACCCTATGGATAAGCAGATAACGATACCTTAACTTGTTGACCTCGCTTCAAGAGATAGGCCATGGGCACGCCTGTAACCCTGGCCATTTCGACGCTATTTGCGACTGACATCAACTTATCTAACAAGAGCAGGGGTAGGTAAGCATCTTTCAGGCAGTATATGGCCAAGCGTCGGCGCGTTTGGTCATTTCCGTTTTGAAGATCACTGATAATGCTGTGATGGACATCTTCCTTTTGCTTCTTTAGGAAATGATAGCTAACCGAATTCAGAGTGTAACTCCGCAATTTGTAATCTCTGAGCAGTATCTAGGAAGGGAACAATTTACTAGATACAGGAGCCCACCCCAATTCTCAGAATACTTTATAGCAGGATCAGTTAAAACAAAAGCAATAATATGGTGTTGGGTGAACTTTTTCAATAATGAAACACTTCTGAAAACCAAACTTGCTGTACACAATACACATTATTCGTACCTGTAATAGATCAAATTGAACGCGCCCATCAATGGATACATATTTGTTCTCTCGGCGGCCAATTTGCTTTGAATGGATTAAGCTGTCGTGCACAATGGACTTGGAACCAAGTACACGACCCAAGAAAGGGAACGAACTCACTTTAAGATGGTTGCATCGGTTGACCAGATATGGAAGGTCAAAATTCTGTATGTTATAGCCCGTAATCACGTCAGGATCAACTTCTCGAACAAAATGAGCCCATTTCTGCAAAAAAGCATAACAGTATAGGATAGTGGAATCTTTTGTAGAAAACAAACCTCAGTCATTTGCAGTCTCAAGTGAAAGAACATTAACCAAACCGTTTACGCTTTATGCTACGCTGCAGATGCTTAAACATGAAACTCAATAGCATATCAAAAGGATGAAACAGAGCGGGAGGTAATCAAAGCTTGGTTACAGAAAGCATTTCATTCTCCGTTGCAAAGCAGATGACATGCGAGCCGATGATGGGAGCGCAGGTGTTGAGTGTGAAAACATTGCGTATAAAAGGCTTCGAATCACCGTATCTGATAACCATATTGGCTATCTGAATAACAGCATCTTGCTCTGGAACTGGGAAAACACCTAAACAAGAAAATCACTCATTACGAACACCATAAAAGGACAAAACTACTACATGCGTTACGCCCTTTCTTGTTTAAAGCACGCGAGACGAATCCCTCTAAACATTAGTACCATCAATGGCGAGCCAACAATAAAACAAAAATGGATGCTACTCATATAGAAACAGTAATACTATGGGCACATATAGGAACGGACTGATTAAGTTTGATTCAACAATAATGCAGTTTCCCTATGAACGAATACTTTTGGGGAAGAATGATCTGTTTTGATCAATAAGTTTCAAAAACAATTGTTTAACTAAATCCTGCTACAGTGAGAACGGAATTAAGTGAAATTAGCTACCTCTCCGACCAGCACATTCAATATCAAAACTGAGAATCCTTATGGGCGCAATCTTGCTCCACTCGCCCTCAGTGGGGTAAATGATAATGTCATTCCACGCAACGTCGACCTCCAACTGACACCTGGTCTGACTCGCAGCAGAAGAGAGGAATTCATCAATGGGGATCACGGCATTAGCCTCTTTCAACACTTTAGATGGCGAATTAATTCGACTTTTCTGTCTTAAGAAGTACTTCCCAGCGGGTAGCTCGATCCAACAGCATCCAGTCATATTGATATCAACCATAAAACGCGTTTCAAAGTCAACATTGGCCTCAAATGGGGCATAAGACTAAAGAACAAGATGCCATTTAAAATGGATACAGGAGTTGGAAAACGCTTCAAGTTGTAACATACGTAATTCGGAAAGGCGCAAAATGAAAAGCCGTTCTCAAGAATGCGCCTTGCAGTGGCTATAAATCGAGGAAGGGCGAGCACGATTCGAATGAATTTGGACTTAACGTTACCATGAAAACCAAATATGCCTACAGAATAAAAAACACACAAAAATAAAGTGCAGAGAATTATAGAAACCCGATGCTGAAATGACAAAAATCAAAGCATATACAAACTCAAATTGGGGAATAAGTTTTAGATTACAATGGAGGAAAGCGGTCTATGCAAGTTTTACTCATTCACAAACATACTCGTGGCATTTTAAAGCATGCCACTTACTTTCTTTCTCCTCAAGTTCAACATTGAGAACAAAATCTTTAAGACCGTCTGATTGATTTCCTTTAAGTTCCCCACAAACAGCAAAGTTTAGCTGTCTACGAAATTCCTCAAGATGTTCTTGCATGAAATTCTGCGGTGCAGCAACATAAAAGTACGGCAGAAATCCGTGAACATGAGCCACGACGCTGTGTCCTTTCTCTGAAACTCCGTAAACACGGATGATTGGTACTGGATTGCAGTTTGGGCCGAGCATATTTGCCACCTTTGCACCCTAAAATGCATCAAAAAACAATGACGCAACTTATTTTCAAGTAAGAGGAGATTACGAATGACGACAACATGCAAACACATCACTTTAACCTTATAAAAATCGATATCCATCTGTTGAAAAACCAGTTTCTCGGACGCCACATCAGAAGGCGCTACTGAAGGTCGTAACCAAGTTTTGGGTAGAACCCAACCAGTGTCAGCAGTCACAACGTCGCTTTCATCAATAAGAATTTCCTCATCAGATGCTACGACCTCATCGAGGATCTTGAGTTCTTCCTCAAAAGTTATGGTAAAATTCTCGTCAGCACCACTCTTAGGCCTAAAAGATACAGCATAATAAGTCTTTTAAGAAGGTTTATTTCGGCTTAAAACAAACCTGAGAAACGATAAAAACTACACCTCATGGCCAAGGATATTAGCGAATTGAATTGAGTTCAGATTATATCGAAGAATTTTCGCAAGACACTTCCTCATAAAATGCACATAACCGCAGGACAAAAAAGATGCCAAAATCGGCGAACACAAGAATAGGCAAAATAAAATCCGACACATACAGTACAAAATTTATAATTTCACGGCAAAGCAGTCTAACACACAAGGCTTATAGGCTAAAACACTACCTGCTACGCTTCATTGAAAAATTATGTGAGTGGGCAGAAACGAACAGATTGAACGACGCAGCTGTCAGAGAACACGCTCAACCATGAACAAACGTTATAGAGGCACCACAGATGTAAATGGGCCAATAAACTATAGACTCTATCCATTTAAACAAACCTTATTGACGGATAAAAAGATTCGAAATAATTTTAGTTTTCAAGGTTTTTGCAAACGTGAATTATATTAACGGTGCTTTTTTGCATTTTGTTCAATGACATACGGCATGCATTTTATGACTACACAAAGAGGAGAAAATTTAATTATTTTAAAGCAATAAGATTAGAAAACATGCACTTATAAAGTCTTTTAGGAAATAAGTTACATAGCCAGACTAGTATCACAATTTTAACGTCAACAACTAACATTTAAGAAACGTTTGATAGAATAATATAATAATTATTTAAAGTAATCAAAGTATACTCTTGTGTCATGATGCTGTGCCAATGTCTTCGACACCAAAAAGCGCTTAATCTGAATCAGCTGCTCGCAGCTGTCTGGCTGCTGTGGTCTTGTTTCCTCCTGTATTAGGTGATTTAAAAGCTAAAGGTATATCCTTACTTTATCTCTTCAGTACTAACCAGCTTCTATTCAAATATTTCCGTCCTTTATCTCTCCATTTTTGGATAAATCTAGTCAAATTGTCTTCTCAATTGTTTAATAAATGATGCTTGTCAGCTGTATTTCGTGGAATCTTTTTGCCACTTCGTTGATGTTGCATAGATGGAGCCGTGCGTAAAAATTTTGCCGACGACCTTCCAGGCAATATTACTACACTTTGCTGTTGATGCTACGCGTGAAATGAAAGGAATTCTCATTGGTTCGGTATTATTTAGGCATTTTGTCCTGACATTCTCTAGTCAAAAGTGTCCAACGTTTTTGTTGTTACCATTATCCCTCTTTCCTCAAACCAGAACTTAACTTGTTCTGCGATCGAGTCCATGTGTCAGGTAATGCTGCTTGCTCTCCTGATTGTTAAGTTGAGTTTTGCGTAGGCACCGGGTTGTTATTAAGCTGTTTCACTTTACTTAGACTAGGGCTTTAATGAACAGTGTTAGAAACTTTTCCTTGCTCTCAATGGGTTAGCATTAATGGTAATGCGGTTCATTGTTCGTTTTTGACTCGTAATATAGATTTCGCTCCGCGAGTTGGATTACACTTCTTGTCTTTACCGCAAGTCTGGTTAGTCCAGATTCCGTAAAACCAACGCAGTATTTGTTATGAAACTGTGTTACTTGATCACATTGTTCCTTTAAAATTTACGCATATGGATGGCTCCTATTTTGATCATCTTGGAGTACGTTTTCATGTTGCAGGATTTCAGTCGGTCCACTGGAACCCAACTTGGTGTTGTTGGCTGGTATCATTCGCATACTGAACTAGATACAACACTGACTAAACAGGATATTGACTTTCATCAAAAATTTACAGCTAGGTTCCCCAATTCTATTGCTTTTGTGGGTTTGTTCGGGAGACGTTCAGACGATCGAATGGTAAGTCTGTTGCATTGAAAATTCGCTAGACCTGCTGGCCTCACTTTTCTTGAGAAAGACATGTTCCTTGCACTAATTCACTGTTTGCGCAGTGGAAATGTACCGATATGTGACAATTTTATGCCACTTTAGGCAAGGGTGATGTCATTCACTGCTTTCCGATGTGCTTTGAATGAGAAACCGGTTCAAGTTCAATGTTTTGTCAGGCCTGTTCTTCCCAACCTTATCTCGTCAAAGTACTATGCAGTTGCTTGCCTCGCATTCGAATATGTTCTCAAGATTGCGGAGGAGTACGTATTTAGTCAACAGAAGGGTGAGATGCTGGGCGATAGGCCTTGAGATAGTCTATTTATTACTCAAGTTTGTAGTATAGATCCTAGCGAAGTCTTTTGCAAGCTGCGTGGGCTAGCGAATCTCTTTTGCACATCCTTGATCATTAGATTTTACATATTTGATGGATTGACATTGTTATCGGTTTATTTGCTATAGGATTGAAGCTTAAAGTCAGGTGAGAAACTTTACTTCTATCAAAATAAGTAAGGCCTCTAAAAATTTTTTGAAGTCATCATTTGGCCGTCCCACTTCGTAGGTGTTAACTACTGCGATAGCACTACGATTGAACCCTTGGTCGTCGCGACACTGAGCTCATCGAGCGAGACACGCTTCTAGTTAAATTTTTCTGGTGCTTTTGACAATCAAGAGTGGTCTCTGCTAGGGTATTACTCGTTTATTTTTTTGTCTTTTAAGAAATTTGTAGATGGCTACAATAGAACTCTAGCGATAGCAGTTGTTTGGTCCCCATGAGTTGACCTTGTTAATGCATTTTCTGCTAACAGGCACAGACGTTAAAATAGGTAGGTAAAAGGATAATCTGTCCTGATGGTGGCTTGTGTTTCTTTTCAGAGGATTCGAACTACTTGGACTTGGCAATACTCAAACCGATTCTAATGACTCTCCAGTCTATGGCTGCGTCGTAGAACGGCCTATAATCAGGGCTTCAGTAGTAAAACCGAAATGGGAACTGTATTTTATGCATTGATCTGAAAAGTTATCATTTTACGATCTTGACGCTTCTATACTCGTAAGAGCTTGTTTTCAATCACTCGTGCCTTGGTTTTAAGCTATTGTTCGACCCAGTGCTGATCAGAGGTCATACCATACGGATGTCAAGTTGACTTTGCCTGCACCAGATCATTTCCAAGTGCAGTTTCAGGCTTGTCTTGGAAAAGTGGGAGCATGTTTTGAGGGCTTATCCTCTGTATTTAGAGGTCACACTCATTTTTTGGACCAGCGTGGTTCTGTACTAAGTTGGACCCACTGGCGAGTGGGTACGGCAAATGTAAATAGCTCCAAAGAGAATTGGCTGGCCGTTTCTTCTTCCTAAAGGCGGTGTAGGGGTGTGTCATGGACAAAAAGTTGGATTTTGAAGGAGATTTCTCGCTCTTCGGTGTGTTTTCGCGGAGTCTGTTCGCAAAGGCGTTGGTGCATTTTACAAACGATATTGAATGAGAATATGTTAATATCATTGAGTAGGATAGTCTTATGTTAATGTTCCCTCCTATCTACTACTTCACATCCTCTGATAGAAAAACGTCTTTCATTTTCACGATTTGCAGGTGTTGCAGTGTTGATTTGCTTGTCCGACTTCGACAAAATTACATTATTCATAAAAAAGTAAACTTCACACTTCTAAAAGTGCAGCTAGGATAATCCTCTAAATTTTGTGTTCAACTATCTCGAGTTCTGTTTTTGTTTCTTCCATCCATTTTTAATAAATAGTTTGGAGACCTCATCTTTTTCAGTTGGTTTTGTACCTTTGTAGGGCCACATTACTAGAATTGATTGTAAGTGGTT